ATTCACCCACCTTCATCTCACACTGCCTCTGGGTCAGTGTTTGTTATTATGAGTACCCCTATAGCTCCTGTTCTGCCTGAACCCCAGTAAGAATTATGGGAAGCAACAACATTTGTAATAGAACCATTTAAGGTAACAAACATTTAAAAGATTTATTAGCAATGGTTTGAGATTTTAAAACCACACAGAACAATCACCAGGGGCTGTCCATGACACAGGTGACCCTGATGCAGGTGCTTTGCCTGCACTACAATAGCAAAATATTTCAGGAGTTGACACAAGTGTGGCTGAGAGGTCATTTGGTTTCACAACCCACTCCAGCTGCATTATGCATTGAATTCTGCAATAATGAAATTGAAGACTTTTCCCTTCTGCTGACAGCCTGACGGCCCCAGTGCAGCTCCCGCAGCCTCGCTGAGGAGCCGCGGGCCTGCCGGACGTGAGGGGACACGGGAGGGCTCGAGCACCCCCAGAGACAGCAACAAGTATGGGAAAAAGAAAACACTGTCCTCTTCTCTCCCCAGAAAAGGCTGTTTTAGAGGTATTACTCTCAAGCATGTAGTAAGACAAGCTTTCATCCTGAGTAACATCAGCACCTTTCTTCCTTCAGAACCAGATTTTTGATCTGCCACATAATCCATAACAGAAATGAGATTTTAGTCTTGCTTGATCACACTGTGGAGCCTTATGCAGCACCTTAAAGCAGATTACAGCCTGATACAAACACTGAATATCTTTATGAATGACCATCCTTTCTCTAAAAAAAATATACTTAGCTACTGAAAAAGTTACTTTTTTTCATAAAGACTGAGTCTGAAGCCAGAGGCCGCATCTGCTCTTTCCGAAGGAAACACTCTGTTGATATTACTGCTCACTGCTACAAATTATTCCTGTCATATGAAAAGGAAGAAACACCTGGATGACACAATAAACAATCCACACTACTTCTTACAAGGACACATGAACCCAACTTGCAAAGTGAATCCAAGCTGATCTCTTTCTAATTTCCTTAGAAGGAGAATTTATAAAAGATCTTGTGCTAATGCAGTTGTCTAAGTAAATTTCCCTAAGAGTTTGGCAGGCAGCACATTAACTACAACCTGGGAGAAACAATGATAAACATTTAACAAAAGAAAAATTTCAGAAAGAAATGCAAAAGAAACAAAAAAACCTAATCTCGGCTATTTTTGGCCATGCACTGCAGCTGCTGGCTCCGAACTGTGTAGTTAAGGCAGCAATAACAACTTGGCTCTGATAAAAATCCATTATGGTACCCAGTTCAAGTTCACCAGGTTTTCCTTTTTGGGGGGCTGCATGCCCATCCCTCTCAATACCTTGTTATCCTCCCAAATTTCCTTCTACATCTCAAATGCACCTTAGGAACGTCACATTATTCCAATGTATGAAAACAAATGCAATGACTGCCTTTTTCCTCCAGAATTCCTGAGCTGCTGTGCATGGTAGAAGGAAGGTGTAGATTTATTCCAGCTAAGAAAGGGCTGCATTCCCACCCCTCTCAATACCTTGTTATCCTACTAAATTTCTTTCTACATCTCAAATGCACCTTAGGAACATCCCATTGCTCCAATATATGAAAACAAATGCAATGACTGCCTTTTTCCTCCAGAATTCCTGAGCTGCTGTGCATGGTAGAAGGAAGGTGTAGAGTAAGTCAAAGACAAAAGCCAGGCAGGCGCCATCAAACACAAACACACCTGGGGACTACAAAGCAGTCTGAAAGCAGAACACAAAACCAAAAACATGCAGGAGGGAGACGGGGACCTGGAGGAAATGCCAGGTTAGAGCCACTCTAAAGGAGATTATGGGCCCTTGTGTCAGGGATCACTGGCCAAAGGGCAGCTCAAGGTCAGAGTGAGCAGTTCCGTGTGCCTCCCCTGCCAGCTCAGCCTGGCTCACAGCACACAGAGCCTGCCATTCCTTCAGAGAGAGGATTCCTGCTGCTGCATGGACACCTCACAGCACTGAAAGCCCTGACTGACAGCACAACAGCCCTCTTTGAATACCTGTGGAACGCTCACCTCTTCTGTCACTACACAGATGGCAGGAACAAGGTTACCTGTCAAATGGTAAATATCTAAACTGTTCAAGACCTAAGATGCATTAAAAATTCAAAAGGATATTTGTTTTACTGAATATAAAATAATAACTACATGTGTATCACAACACATCTCTCAAATAATGTCTTATCTAGTCATTCCTAAGGTATTAAACTGTTACTTTACTTTTCTGGAATATGTGCTCCTAAAGGACACACTCATTCACAGTTGACAGAATTTAGAAATTCTTACTTGGCTATATTTTCTTCTCAATGTGTAAGACAATAGCGTGCAACATAGGCCAAAATAAAATTGGGGTGGTTTTGGGTCTTTATAAAGTAAAACTTTTAAAATCTACTGCTCTTTTTAGGTCACTAATGAATTCAAATTTCACAAGTCTCTGGAGGAGCTCCTCTCTAGCAAGTTTCTTAAACTGCTATTTAATTCAAATATTACCTTATACTGACTCTCAAGAAAAAAAAAATCTTTCTCCTCCCATCTCTATCATATAATTAGAACTATTTATTTTTAAATTAATTACTTTTCAATTATGTTCATCATAATTTCCTTTATTTCCTCAAATCCCTCAAGTCTAGGATTAAGAGGCTTCCCCATCCAAGGATACAGCTGAATCTACAAGAACAGGGAATAGAAACCATTCTGGAATCCTCACTGCAGCTACTGCTACCAAATCTGCAGGGGAAAAAAAGTGCATATTTCTTGAAAAAACATTGCTGTGAATCGCAAATATTAGCACATGTTACTAGAAACACTAAAATAACTAAGAGTAAATGCAGAGTAAAAAAAAAAAATCCAATGAAACCTGTGAAAAACAATTATAAAACTTAAAAAAATCAAATTAATTGCCTTATCGCTTTACAGCTGAACCCTTAATCTAACAATTCAAATCAACTAATTGCTAAAAATTTGGTCTTTCTGCTTCATGAGACAAGTGTATTACTACATAAATAGATTATTCTTGGTTATTCTCAAATGCTTCACGAATATTGTGCTTGGAGTAGGTTTTTGCTGAGTTGCTTTTAATTCAATAATTGTGAGCCTCAGTAAGGAGCTTGTGTTAATAAAAAAGGGGAGATTTACTTTCCTAATTATGAAATCTGTAAAATCTGTAACAGTTAAAACACAAAACCTACAAAAGAGTACAAAATCAAAACTCAGAAACCAGATTAGTTTACTGGTATATTTACCTATAACTTCATGAATGCAAATCAAACTTCTATGCCATGAAAAATTACCGCAGAAATTATTCTGTCTGGCTTTTCTCATTTATCATATAATCAAATTCTTGTAGGTTGTTTTTCTAGCCTTTCAGGTAAATCACAGGCACACAAATTCCATGTGCTAAGATAATGCAGATTTAGAAAAAAAACCATAATACAGCCTGTAATTTACCAAGTGCTCCTTACATTTGTGCTAAATATGCTTTTTCATTATAAAATAAAACTCAGTGCTTGAATTTCAGTTTGTATTTGCTTAACCTATGAAATACTATTCAAAATAACTGTGTTGCATTACAGTCCCCCCTCCCCAATCTCAAACAGAATAATACTCACACAAGAACTGTTTCCAGTATCTGACCTTGTTTCCAATCTGAGTTCCAATCAACTGTACTACCTGTAAGATCAGGCCCTATATTTTAAGTTAAAAAAAATTATAATGATGCTTCTTAAAATATTGTCTTTCTTCGGTTCATTTGTAGCCTCCAGAGAATACCAAAATGTACATACTCCCATGCCAGAGGAATTGATACATCTGTGCTGCAACTGCGAATATTTCCTTTTTTATATCTAGTCCCTGCAACTAAAAGCTTTGTTGTCATTTTGGCCTAAAATGTTAGTCAAAATGTCAGTTATATAAGGCCACGCGTGGAGGCACACGCACTCTAAAAAACGCTGCTGCTGTATTAGTAATGGAAAAAAATCATGGATGTCTGGTCTGACACAGACATTCACAGTGGGAATAACGCGTTTATACCACCCGAAACTGTCCCACCCTCCCTCCTCGGCCCAAGTCAGCCGGGAGCAGCCATTCCCACAGCCTGCGAAATTCCATAACCAGCAAACCGGCCTAGAAACAACAAGAAATTCAAAACCGCAGGGAAAGAACAGGACCGGAATTCTCCATTTGGCTCGACCGACGTAACCCCAAGCCCGGGCTCAGCCCTCCCTTCCCAAAGGATCCGGCCCCGGGCTCGGCTCCCCGTTCTGCACAGCGGGATCGCGGCGGCCCGAGCTCAGCTCCCGCTTCCCAAGGAGGGATTGAGCCGTGGGCTCAGCCTGCTCCTCCCGGGGACGGACCGCGGCGGCCCGAGCTCAGCTCCCGCTCTGCACGGAGGGATCGGGCGGCCCCGAGCTCCACCCGCTTTCCCGGGGAGGAATCGCGACCGCCCGGGCTCCGCTGCCTTTTCCAAGGAGGGATCGGCTGGACCCTGCTGCCTTTCCCAGGGAGGAATCGCGGCCGCCCGGGCTCCGCTGCCTTTTCCAAGGAGCGATCGGGGCCGCCCGGGCTCCGCTGCCTTTCCCAAGGAGGAATCGCGGCTGCCCGGGCTCCGCTGCCTTTCCCAGGGAGGAATCGCGGCCGCCCGGGCTCCGCTGCCTTTCCCGGGGAGGAATCGCGGCCGCCCGGGCTCCGCTGCCTTTATCGGGGCTGCGTTGGGCTCGGTCCCCGGCCCCACACGGGATCGCTGCGGCTGCCGCGGCCCCGCGTGTGTGTTCTGCCGGCGGAGCGGGGCATTCCTTCCCCCGGCCCGCGCCTCTCCCAACTTTTCCAGCCACAACTTCCACGTTCCGCCCGCGGCGCCGCCGGCCGGGCCGGGCCGGGCCGGGGCCTCGCCTCGCTCCTCGCTCGGCTGCGGAAGGTCACGGCGGCCGCGGGCGGGGCGGCCCCGCGCGCTGGCGGCGGCGCGGCCGGTGCGCTCCGTACCTCTGCGGGCCTTCGGGGAGTGCCGGCGGCTGCGGGCGCTCGCTCGCTCCTCCTCGATCGCGGCCGCTATCGCCGGGTCGTCCTCGCCATTGTACCACACCAACAGCTCCTCTCCCGCCGCGATTGGCTGCCGGGACACAACACGGGCCGCGCGGCCAATCAGCGCGCGCGTTGTTGGCGGGGCGGGGAGCGGCCGCGGCGGCGCCCACGGCGCTGCTCCCGCCGAGCCTCGAGGGCGCCGCCCCGCGCGCCCCCTGCCGGCCGGAGGGCACAGCGCGCCCCGCCCCGCGCCCGGCGCACGGAACACACGAAACGGCCCAAAACAACCCAGGAACACACAAAACTGCCCAAAACAACCCAAAACCACCCCAAAATCACACAAAACTGCCCAGAAACACCCCCAAAACAACCCCGAAAACAACCCCTGAAACACACAAAACTGCCCAAAACAACCAAAAAACAACCCAAAAACACCCCCAAAACAACCCCCAAAACAACCCCCGAAACACACAAAACTGCCCAAAACAACCCAAAAACACCCCCAAAACAACCCCCAAAACACACAAAACTGCCCAAAACAACCCCCAAAACAACCCCCAAAACAACCCCCAAAACACACTAAAACACCCCAAAAAAATCCCAAAGCAATCCCAAAGAGAGCCCCAAAACTGCCCACAACAACCCCACAAACAACCCCAAAAACACCCAAAACCAACCCAAAACGCCCCCCAACCCCCCCCCAGAACTACCCAAGACACCCCAAAATTACCCGACACCCCACAACAACCCCAAAAACACCCAAAACCAACCCAAAACACCCCCAAAACACCCCGAAAACAACCAAACACCTCCTCACAGACTGTAACACACACACATAACCCCCGGAACACAAAACATCATTATTTTAAAAAATCGTCCCCCAGAAATTCACACAAAAACACAGAAAAGCCCCACAAAAGTGACAAGAAAAGACCAAGCAAAGACCAGAAAAAGACCAAAAGAAAAGATAACCCTTAAAAATGGCAAAAAAAAAAAACCAAAAACAAACAAAAAAAAAAAAACAACAAAATCACAGAAAAAAAATCAGAAAAATCATGGAATGTTAACATGTTGGAAGGGACTTTAAAATCCAGCAGTCCACGTATTAATAATTCATACACAGTTGTTGTTGTTATTATTATTTTTTTTTGCATGAACCTTCCAGCTGTAATGTCCCAAACTGTGGTTTGCCTCAAATTGTGGCACTGATTTAAATCCCAGTGCTCGCTTCTCTGGATATTCACTGTTAATTCTTTCCAGAGAGCAGCCATGTTGGGATAAATATACCTACTTTATACAAAGTATTAAATAAATTAATTAATTATAATATAATAATAATTTACTGCTCAGGCAGACACTACATCTGGGATCTGGAACAAATTCTAAAGATCCAGGAAAAGACTGTCACAGTGGGTTAATGGGAATACAGATAATTATAATATGTTTAATAAATCCACTTCACCATAAAAGTCAAAGGTTTGTTTGCCATTCCAAATTGATCATTTCTATTCTTTTTAATCAAATTTTTTAAAAGTCACAGACTGAATTAGTCAAATGGGCATCACTGCAAATGCTACTCATACTCCCAGCACTGCCAACAAAAAAAACTATTGATCACTTCATTTCACAGGCTCCTTAAAATATCAGACTCAAACTAGTAAGTCCCCAAGTTGGCAGATTGGAGATTTTAACTTACTTTTTAAATCTTCCTCATTGTTTCTCCATTTTCTGAAGCATTTTACCCAAAACCAAGAAAAATTTAAATATTTAAACACCTTAACTTCAATTCCTCTCTTTCAGGGCTTAATGAACATGGGGCTGGTGGAGAGCAGATCCTATTTTCAGTCATTCCAACAGAGCAAATGGTTGCTCAGACTATTATTTCCAGTCTGAAGCCAAAGGGGAAATTTGTATCAAGAAGAAAATGAGGATTTCTTTCTTCTACAGCCCATGTTTTAGTAGGTCTCATAGCACATGACAAAGGTGATAATTATCATCATACCCCCAGACACTGGAACAACAAGAGGTGCAAGATCCCAACAACTAAGGGAAGAGTAAGTTATAACATAAGCAAAGCCTATGGCTTGGCTTCCTTGACTTCCAGAGGCCTGATAGGATAAATAGTGGCAAATTTATTTGCATGGCCTTGGAGCTGGTGAGCAGCAAGGAATGCAGCAGAGTTGTCTGATGCAAAAAACCTCTTATCATCTAAAAAATATACAAAGATCTGGATGAGGTTTCAGGCAATGCAAACACAGGGTGGTAATGAACATGTAATTTGTTGGCTGCATGGCTGGAGCTAACGTTCAGCTTGATGAATTTAGTTTTATTGTGACTGCTCTAGAATCTAAATTAAGCCCTCTAACCTTGCACTTCTAAAATGAGATGCAGAAACAGCTTCAAAACCAGACAATTAAAGCTACTTCCTCAGCAGCAATATGAGAGCAGGACTACACTTAGCAAGTGCCACTTTTCCTCCTGACACCCTCTAGTAACAACTCCAAAACCCAACCTCCTCCAAACTATTCCCTATAGATCCTTGGTGCAGCAGTGTCAAACTGGGACAGCCTGGCTAAAAAAGGTATGAATTTTGGGAAGGTTCATTAAGTTAATAATTCCCACACACTTATTTGTGCTTTTTGTTTTAACTGCAACATTTACCTGTCCTTAATCTGAGTATTTTCTGTTCTAAAGGCTTACAGTAAGTTCAATATTTGTTATTTTCAAGAGTAATATCCTAACAAGTTATTAACCTACCCTAAGTAACCTTAAAGGTTCTAGCAGATTGTTTAAATTCTGATTAATTGTGCATGTTCAAGCACTCTAATGTGTCTTGCACAGACTGAGATAGGCATTAGCCTGTCTGACCTCAGAGTATCTATTTTTCACCACAGACATCACATTTTACTGTGATATTGTGCTTCTGCACCTGGATGTGGCCTCATCTCACCAAACATAGCCCAAGTGAACAGTCTGACATTTACTTGAGTGAATCTTTCACACTCTATAACCCTAATAATTGAGGTATTATAAACCTGTTGGGCAAACCAGTCTTCCACAAGCAAATTCTTTTCATTTTAATCAGGGACAGTTCCACATACAAGCTTCTTCAGAAGACTTTTTGAAGCTGAGTTTTCACTGTATTTTACTTTTTCTAGAATTCAAGTGCAGAACAACACTACAGAGCGAGCTCCTGCCATGAGCAGAGGCAGGAAGAGCTGAAACTGCATCATGAATTTAAGCTGTTCACTTGCAATATCCCAGCTCTCACACATCCTGGGGAAAGCAAGTGCAAAGCAGCTTACAAATACCCTCAGCCCTTCAGCAAAGATGAAGAGAAGATGGAAGAGAAAAACATTTGCTTGTGCTTACTCACAAGTTCTATTCTATTCCATAACTATTCTTGGAGAGCAGGGAACTGGGAAGTTAAAGCTCTTCAGCTCTGAGGAGGTTCTGCACCAAGCAAATTTGGACTTTGCTATTTCAGCAACGAGGCTTGGAAATCAGCCTGTTTAACTTACAAATTAAAAACCTACAAAAAGCTAAAGGAAACCTCAGGAAAAATAAGACCCCATGACTTTACTTTCAATGCTTCCAGGTAAAGCAGAACAAAATTACACACAAGCCACCTGGATTCTCCTTTGGGGGCAAATAAAACCTGTGCTGTTTATTTGTCAGCAAGTGGAACTCCCCTAAATTTATGAATTACGATAAAGATCAGGAAAGAACCATCTGTTCATACCTGGGCTGGTAAATTTACAACAGGTTTGAAATGGCAGTAGAGATGCTAAAATTGTATGCAAAAGATAAGGACATTTAAGATGTTCTTTATTACATGCCTTCTGTTGTCTCAGTTAATAGCGAGGTGTGACTGGGACAAAATTCATCAAGTTGCAAAAGACAACAGTCAAAGGAACAAAAGGATATTTCAGTGCTGAGATAAGGTATTTGTTATTCTGTCAGCAGTGCTCAGCCTCTTTTAGCAGTACAGTTATTTTCTGAAGTGCAGTATCATCCATCACATAAACAAATTTTAAATAAGGTGAATGCTTCTCTGTCAGGACCGAAACTTTTGCAGAAAAGATTCAAGGAGAAATTTAAAATGTCAGAGTGACTCCAAAAGCACACCTATATTTATGAGCTAGTGGGACTGTGGGCAAAGGCAGAAGAAATCCAAGATAGTGTCTAGAGAAATCAAGGCTGGCCACAGAGTCATATTGGGAGCCTGCCTCTGTGAATAAACACTGCAGAGAAGTCAGCACCGGGCTGACAACAGTGAGCCTCTACTTGAATGCCATTACAAAGTTCAGAAAATGTTTAGAAGATTTCTTCAATTTAGCTTGAGTGACCTACAAAATTCACCTACTGCTGTACTGCCCCATAAATTTCAAAACTCACGGGATCAACTCACTCTTTTCTAAAGCAAATACCAGTTATTTACAGATATTGTTGTCCTCACAAGGAAATGGAACAGCTATAGTGCAAAACCAAAACTGCATATACCCCAACACCCAAAGTACTTTAAATAAAAACTAAGTTAAGCTACACATACTCACTGCTAGGTCTTGATCAGGGATTCAAGAAATACTTTAGAGTAACAATATTCTTAACCTAACATGCTCCACCATTATAGTTAAACCATTTTTTTTTCTTGATTTGGGAGATAAAATGCTCCCTACCTTCTCCTCACTCCCTGAACAAAACCAAAATGGTATAAAACCATGAGAAACAGTTTCATGGAGCTACCCATAAAAGTGTTTTAACAGCCAAACTTTGTCAAACGATGCACAGACCATAAAAATAACTGATCACTGCAAAAACATCCTCAGCAGAAGGAGTCTTGGTATCTACAAAAACAGAAAAACATTTATTTCACACACTCTGTAGTTTTTCATTCTAGCTTGTATCAAATTTGGTGCTACAGCAAATTACCCAGTAAGACACACTTAGTGTTGAAACATCCAGTAGTTTAACAGTAAATCTAATGTCAACTGTATTGGCAGGTAAGAATTTAAACCAATGATGTGTAGCATTTGCAGTGTTTAAAATATGTTTCATAGTAGCATTTGCAGTGTTTTAATATGGTTCATAATAGCATTTGCAGTGTTTTAAATATGGTTCATAGTAGCATTTGCAGTGTTTTAAATATGGTTCATAAAATGTTTCAAACTCTGTTTCATATAAATAGTAAAAAAAAAGGTTTTTAATAAAGCAGGATGAAAGGTTTAATAACACAAGACAACAAAGTAACAGCTGCTCAGACAGTGATACCTTTAAACTCTTGTAGTAAATGGTCCTGTTGATCTCCAGAGGGAAGAGGTTCTGCTCCTTCCCTGAGCGAGCCCAGTTTATGTAGCGCAGCCAGTTGCCCTTCTCTGGGTCGGTGGCATCCACACACATCCAGCCCAGGTTGGGGTAATACACCTGGGAGAGAGGCAGCAGACAGAGGGACAGCTGCTCACACCATGGCACTAAAATCTGGGACCCTCTGAATCCTTCCCCCTCAGGGAAATCCCCAGGGCCGTGCCTTGGAAGAACAGATCAGAGTTTTCCCCACCTAGGCTGACACAGGGGACTCAGCCCATGGTGCTCTGCAGCACCACTGCCCAATCTACATTAAATTGCTTCCCTCACTGGCCAGCTGACCCTGCCCACCCCAATTACTCCTCCCTCATTGCCCCTACAGGCTGCTGCCCTTTGCCCACCCCTGTGCCCTCAGGTCACTGCCCCCATCCTTGAGCCTGTGCAGACTGCATGGTTTTGTCTTTGTCCCTGACCCCTCTGGTTTACTTTGAAATAAACCTTTGCTGGAATACATCATACAGAGACCCTTCCTGTCTTTCCTCTGCTGAGCTGTCTGTGAGGTCTGTGTGTGCATTGAAATGGCTGTTCTGGTGGCCTTACTCTGAGTGGCTCTGAAGGAGATCTTTTGGAGAAGGTTGCAGCATTTCTACCACCTAAACATTGCATTTCACAGCTCCACAAAGCACTCGGTACCACCCAAGGCCAGAGACAACACAAAGGGCATGGCAGAGCCAGGGCTGGACTGGCAAAGTGTTGCTGCTCTTCTGCAACCTTTTAGAGAAACTGCTACAACTGGGAAAAAACCCACTTGTGGCCTGCAATCCCCCTCTGAAGGCTTTGGGCTCAAAAGCCAAAATCCTTAAAATATTTTACACTTTCTTTTCAGATTGGCAAGCCTGAAATGATACTCTAGATTTTGCATTTAGTAAATTGACTGATTTTAAGATATGAAGGCCACAGAGCTTTATTTTCACCATCTGATGAACTGGAAAAAGTAATTGTGTAGAAGCTAGAAGCATTTGCTATGGAAAGATATGGGAAAGCATACTTTATATTTAATCTTTTATTAGGGTCTAAATGAACATTTTTACCTTTCAGAAATCTTGTGATCACCTTAAGAACCTGAGCATATCAATAAAATTCTGCATGTTCCAAGATGCTGTGTAAATTCTTTGGTTTCTGTTCTTGGGGAAAATGCTGACACCTACTCCTGGTCTACATTTCCAGACAATTTGCAGTAAAGCAAGAACAGGACTGACATCTTCACTATTTTCTGATGGCAGGTGACTGCTTCTCTTTCAAGATGTTATGCATCTCCCACTCTTCTTATAATCCAAGTTAGATGCCTATAAGAAGAGCTATCAGTGGGTATTTTTCCTTCTCTGTTTTTCTAGAAGACCAAAAATCTACAATGTTGTAGCTTTTTATTTCCTCATACTTTACAACTAATTCCAAGGCTTTTAAAATTGTTCTCCAATTTCAATCCTACGTACACTTCTACAACAGCTTAGAAAAGCCCCTACTTAATATATTCAACTATTTTTGTGCTGATAATACTGTTGATTAAATGAAATAGAAATTTATCAACAAAAGTGAAGTTTTAATAAACATATAACCATCTACATTTCTTTCCAAGTAATTAGAAAACATCTCCCTTACTCAAACTATTCCAGCATGGATTTCATCAGCTGACTTTTGAAAGAATGTTCTCCCAGCCCTCACAATATGAAAGCATAAACAGCATGCCAGGCGAGAGTGCAAAAGCAATTCTTTTGGTCAAAATGGAAGAGAAGAGCCAAAGAATGCTGTGGGAGAGCTGAACAGATATGGAATATATGTCTAAATGGAGTTACTGATTTCTTATATATATATATATATAAAACACTCTACTATGTTTTTATATTACCTTATTATGGTTTTTTCACAAACCAAAGTACATTATTGCTTTTCTAATTTACAGAAGATTACGGTCTAATTTACAGAGCATTGTTTAAAGGCCTTGTGCACTGTGAGAAAGAAAATAGCTCCAATTCCTCTCCAAAACACTGTGACTTGAAGTGATTCCTGTCCCTGCAATAAAACCCACTCAGCACAGCTGTGCCAGTCATTCAGAACCAGCATTTCCCCCCCTTTTCAGACACTTGTTCTCACTTTCCCAACTGTGGCTTTTCACCAGTAGAAAAGGAAAAGATGTTCTCTCCTCAGATACCACAGGCATATACTGACACCCACATCTTGTATTTTCCACAATGAGCCTCTGGTATGACAGTTCAAAACCATTAAAATTGACTGGAGAGGCCAGTTTTAGAAGCCTTATTTTTTATTCAAATTGATTTGATTAAAGAAGCAAGTGGAACACTTGTGGAAAATGCTGTTCCCCAAGCTGAGTGTCCATATACTGAACTGCTCCTACACACCACCATCCTTCTTCAAACCATGTTTTTTAACAGTTGAGATTCTGGACTAGTTTCAGGTATCAGCATATGAGACCAACTGTTGCAGTCTCATTTTAGCTGCTTTTTTCCTAACTCTAAAATCACTATTAAAGCAACACACAATTACTCTGGAATTGTTCCCATTATTACTTCATTGTAAACACAAACTGAAAATATATCCACCATGAACATTCAGCACCCAGCACTGAGCAACACGATTGCAAGGTCAATAATTTACTTGACCTATTCCATCTCACCAAATGTTCCTGTAACAGATCAAAACTGGAGATACCTTATGCAGTGGAGTTTGTGATAGCATGAGCTCAATGCAACAAACATTGTACTTGAAATCTGTATTACTTTTCTAAAGGGTAATTTGCATTTATGGGAATGTTCTAGATCAATTCCTCTGATAGAGGTTAACTCTAAGCTCTGTGCATGTTTTTAGTGTTTCAGGGAGTTCCATTTTTGCAAGGAAGGGGACAGAAGGATGGATGACCATTATCAGGGTCTTTAGCCTAAAAATCCATGCTCCAGAATATTCTATGCCACAGTTCTCCCACCCCTCCCCTCCTTGACTATTCACTTTACTAAAACCATGTCCTGTGTTTGTCTTCAGAAAGACTGAAGAAGTCTTTGAAAGTGGTTATAAACTGCCTTAAAGACACTTTAGATGGGATTCAACTCCAGACTATGACATTTATATTTTGAAATCTGCATATTACCCAAGGTCTCCTGACTAGCAGTGGAGCTTCCAGAGCTGCTCAGCTGCCCAGACAGCACTTGCTTCAAGGCAAGCCCAGCACAAGAAATACTGCAACACTTGAGAACTCTTACAAAAACTCCAAAAGCTGGTCTTCAAAGAGCTAAATGAGGAGGAGTGGTGTGGCTTCCTTAAGAGATTCCATATCCTCCTAATTTCCCTAATTCCATAAGCAGTTGACAGCACTCAGTTGCACTCAGGGTTCAACCCAAGAAAGCAAAGATCAGCAGCAAACTCTCAAAGGCAACTTGATAAACACACAGCAGATAAGAAATACAGCAATTTCAAACAATGCCAATGGTTTCTAAAGCTTTGTAATTCAGAATAGTTGTTCCATCCAAGTGTCTATAAATAACTGTTAGTAATGGCAGTAACAGATGGCAATTACCACACATCAAGTTTATTTCTAAAATATCTGAAAAATTAAAGGCTAAATACAAAATATTGACCTGGTGACAGGCACGTTTTTCCATTTACAAGCTGTTTCTTACCTCCCACATGTACACATTGCTCTTAACTTGAGATCTTTTTTTCTTGTCACCAACAAATGGTCCAAACTTCTTGCCTTTCAAAATTGACTTTGTTGCCCAGACACCTGAGGAGACATGTATCAGGAGTTAAAAATAATCTAAGTTATTCCAAGGAAATCTTCTACTCAAAATTCACATTCATAAGATCATTACATGCGTCTGTCTTGGACTGGGGAGCTGTCCACTCTTCCCAAGAGGAATTATTTCAGACAAATACACCAGACATAATCTCTGGCCAGCACAGGAGGACACCAGGTTTTCACAGCAACTCCAAATTTATGTGAGTTACTGTAAAAATCTTCATTCTCTTTTCACAGCTGTAGCACTCACCAAGCCGAGTCTTGTCAACAGCAGATGGGAAGAGCCTCACATCCTCAGGAAGGCCCCTAAGCACATGCTCAGGAACATCATCCAAGGTCTCCACAGCAACAGGGGAGTCAGTTGTGTTCTACAAGTCAAAAAGCCAACCACCATTAACAGGCAAAAATAAGAATACAGCAGGCGATCAACCCACAAGAACTTCAAAACCTTCTGACTTGCAATTAAAGTAAAATTAACAAACTTACCGTACTGAGGATAATTTCACATATATTAGCAATCATTTTTTTCCCTTTTTCAAAGAATGACTTCCAGGCATATTCAACCTAATCATTCCCCCAACCAATCCAATATATTTTCTTATCTTGCCCCTTGTGAGAAAGACTAAAAAGTAACTTTAGGAGAAAACCAAACTTCAAGTTCCAAGACGTGCATACAGTAAAAAATCTGAACTGTTGCTTGCTCTGCCAACTGAAGTGAGCGTGTTGCAGTAAATGAACCACTCCAATGCAGGCAGGAGAACTTGCACTTGGGATACACCATCCACTCTGCCACAGCAGGATGTTCTGCCTGGAACGGGCTAAGACAATGCCCTACTTGCAAAGCTATCAGTGGTGAATGCAGGGGGTGGGGTCATGCTGCCTTTGCTGCTGAATAACGCTAAAACCAGGCAGAGCCATCAATCCCGAAGTTAAACATCCCGAGGGTGAGGAGAAGATGTGGCAGAGCTGACAAAACACCCGATAAAGGAACAGAAGAGGGACACTACAGAACCTGCCTGAAGCTGCTTAGCTGGCACAGCTGCCCGGGGACACCTGACTGACAGTCCAGCACTTCATCCCAGAAAAGCTAAGGCCACTTTTGAACTGACACACCCCTTTTGCAGTGTGTGTTGAGATTCCTCTCTGGAGTGGGGATGCCCCTTCAAGGACATCTCCAAAGGCCATCCAGCGTGGCAAGCACATTTCTCTCCCTCTCAGGACTTTTCATAGAGGTGCACAGAGAGAAATGAAAGAGGAAACAATTTCTTTTTCTGTTCTTTGTTTTTCCTATGTGGAATGTGTTTGGAGAATTGTTTCCCTGGGGTGATTGCTTGATTGGATTCTGGTGAGGATTGTTTGAGCCTGATGGCCAATCCAACCCACCTGGGGCTGGACTCTCAGAGAGGGTAACGAGTTGGGTGAGGGTTAGAGATAGGGTCAGATAAAGTAGTATGTAGTTTTAGTATCCTCCTTTTATACAGTATATTAATTATTTTAGCATAGTTATAATAAAGAAATAATTCAGCTTTCTGAATTGAGCCAGACATCATTTCTTCCCACTGGGTTTGCCTGCGTTTACAATAATCCAGTGCCACCCCTGCCATGGACAGGGTCACCTTCCACTGTCCCAGGCTGCTCCAAGCCCCAGTGTCCAGCCTGGCCTCGGACACTTCCAGGGATGGGGCCTCCACAGCTTCTCTGGGCACCCTGTGCCAGTGGCTCCCCACCCTGACAGCCAAACCCTCCCTACAGCCAAGCCAAACCCACTCTCTGTCAGCACTCTCTGTGATCTTGGGACAAGATCACAACTTGTCCCCAAGCAATGTCTGTCTACCAAAGAGAAATATTGCATTTCAATCACTTTTCTACCAAGACTTAACAATCACATTTAAATTTATTTTTCTGTTTACAAAATTCACCCCTGCATGTCCTACAGCCAGCTTTTGCATTTATCTGAAGCTATTCCTCCTTCTCCTGTCACTACAGTTCCTGGTGATTGAGGAATGTGCATGTCAAGTTTACTGCTCTGCAACAAAAAGACTAAGCTAAAAACAGCTTTTAAAGAGAATAAAACGGTTTTAACAGTAATTATTTCAGTATCATAAATGTTACTCATATTTCCTACACCAAGTAACAGCTCAGAACTTTAGCCAATAGCTTATAATTAATACAAGAAGTTTTAGGATATTTCTATATTAAAGTTTGATAGGCAATATAAAGCTAATAAATTATTTACTGTCCAGTAAGTGATTAGTTCCATTTTATGGAGCCTCCAAGGTTTGATATTATTCTTAGAATATTATCCATACTATTACTAATATTAATATTTTCCATATTATTACTACTCACACTTGTCATAAAGCAACCTGCTCCCTATTACCCACTTTCAATTAACAAAACACTACTTCTGATAGAAATTACCAGAATTTCAAAGTTACAGGAATGCAAAGTTTCCTATAAAATCTCTCCACACTCCAAATGAACTGTGCATGGTGAAATTTAAGCCTTTATTGAACCACATGCCCTAAAATAACTCCCTGCCTTCTGATATGGAACTCTAATAATTCTGGTCAGGAACAAACACTGGTGGTAATGGCAGGAACAGCTCTAATATTAAGGATGTTATACTTCACCTCTGAAGCCACTTTTAGGAAGAGCTAAACTGAGAATTTTTATCAAATAAACTTTAATTTTTTGTAAATTATTCTGGCTTTTACCTATAACCATAAAGCAGAGATACAATAGTAATTTTCACATACTGAGCAATAAACTACTGAGTAATATTCAAGAGTATTTTCTAGTGAGTACTTTTGAAATATACTGAAAGGTTACTGTAAATATATTTTAAAATGCATCTCAATCTGCTATCAAATTGCATTTTTTTTCTCTCTAAAGCAAAACAAATAAAGCTTCTCAGCCCTTGTTCCTCAGCACCCAGTCTTTGTCAGGGTGCTGCTATGGCAATATTCACTACATTTGAAAATTTGCTGAGTGGAGTTAAAAGAACAAATCTTCTGCCAGTTTTAATTGCAACAATGAGGAAAATTACAAAACTGGAGTCAGAGCAAGGTTATTCTAGTGCTGCCTTCATAAACCTTAACAGCTGCACAGAGAGCTCCCAAAGAGCTATTTGCAGGGGAGAAAGACCCCCAAATTGGAAACCATGGAAGGGAGAGAATGCCAGAAATCCCTTCCCATCCAAGAGTGGAGACACCAGGGATAAATACTTATTCAATAGTTAGAATAGCTAAAGACTATTCAAAGCAGAGCAAAGCTTTATTTTGCTCTTCTAACAACCCAAAAGGAAAAATACTGATGAAAGCAGCCTGATTTTCAGACATCTGTTTGCCTTGAACTGATATGCAAGAAGCCATGTCTCAGCTGAAAAACAAACATGCTCTTCCTTGCATATCAAAGAAACCTAAAAATCTTCCCAGTACATTACCCCAGGATTTCATCAGGGGAGAATAAGCCTATTTTTCCCAGAGGTTTCTAACAAGTTAGGTACAGAAATAGAAGAGGGTGGCTGACAGCTCTCAGAATGGTCCACTTCCAGTTTCAAGCTAAAAGGACGATGGTTTTTTGGCTGGGTTGCATTTGGGGGTTTGGTTTCTTTGGAGAGTGTTGATTTTGGTTTGGTGTTTTGATGAGAAGTTAAAAATCTCAAATCTCAAACCTGCAAATAGATTTTAACCTGTCATAACCTGATTCAGACAGAAGTGTACAGCACTGTGATACATCTTTGATTTTCCTGGTCTATTCCTTAATAGTCACACCTTTTAACAATAAATATCCCTGAACTGCTCTACCATTTGAGAAGTGTGTTTGTATGGAATAGTATACAATCAGAATTTTATTGTGCACCTACATAAATCAGAGATTAGCAGGACATTCAGAGAACACAACGCTCACACTCATCCAACACTTCTCACATTAATGGATTTCACAAGTACTAGAAAACTGGATATGGCCTTTACACAACAATACACTTCACACCTCAAATGAATGCTAATAAGCAACAAATTCAAAACAGTAAAATAAACAATTTAGTTCAGTCAAATCAGTGCAATCTCTTTTTATTTGCAATTTAGATGTAGCTACTTGAAACTTTTTCCAGATCACAACTTGTCCCCAAGCAATGTCTGTCTACCAAAGAGAAATACTGCTTTTCAATCACTTTTCTACCAAGACTTAACAATCACATTTAAATTTATTTTTTGTTTACAAAATTCCCCCTTGATAAGGGTAGTGCACTTGTGCATGTCCTACAGCCAATTTTTGCATTTATCTGAAGCCTTAACACAATATTTTTCACTCCTTCCAAGGCTGCAATTTTGAATACAAAAACACCTGAAGCTTATTTCACTTTTAAGCTTCTTACTCTGAAGCTCATCAGAAAATTGCATTCTAGCATTTAAATCAACCAGTATGAAGTGACTTTAGGACAATTCCAAAGGATCATTTGAGGGCTGAAGTGGTGCTTTAACTGGAACAGTTTGCATCAAATCCAGAGCCCAGACACTCTGACAGTACCTTTTAACACATTAAGCAACTTTTCACACCACTTTCAATACCATTGTACTCATGAACCAACCACTGATTAGTCTGTAATGGTACAAACAGTATTTAGGCAGAGTAGAAAAGGCATCTGCAACAGGATACTTAGAGGTGATAAAAGATTAGAGTGAAAAGGAAAGAAACCATCCTGAAGAGTGCAATGAATGACAGCCAGCCAGTAAGTGTCATGTTAGGGTGAAAACAAGATTAGGATAAATGAGAAGATAAAGGAAAGGATGCTACTGAAGAGGGAGGGAGGGGAGGAGGCAGGAGATGGCAGAGAAGTTAGAAGAGGTAGCTGAGGAAGGGTAGATGTGCTAGCTGGCACAGGAAAGCCAACAGGTCTCTCCTTGTCCAGGCACCTTAGCTGGCAACCCTCTTTGCCACAATATCACACAATTCGTGTGCTTGAAAATTTAAGATGTGTTGGAAATATTTGAAATAATCATTGAAAAAATCAGAAGGAATGAAGGGAAGAAGTTTCAGTACAAATGCAGATGTCCTTTGCCTGCATTCCTCAGCACTTTTTAAGTAACTGCCTATGCTGTTTTCCCTGTAGAACCCAAATTCTTCCTACTCTGTCTTACTGCAGTCTGAGATAATGCTACCAATCAAACCCCATGTTTGCTTAGGGTTTTTAAAATAAATTATTCAGCTATACTGATGAACTAATTTACGTATTAGAGGAAGATCTCCTTTCAAAAGAGGACTGCCTATCCTGAGACAGCAATCTTCCAAGAAACCCAAAACCATGAACTCCAACAACAGATGGGGTTTTTTTAATCCTTCTTCTCCTTGCAACAAGAAGGCTGTATCATAGAATTTAAGTTTTCCTTCACTACTTCAAGATTTCTTGGGATAAACCACAAAACTAACAGTCTTTTCATATAAACCAAATCAACTGCAGCCCAGTTAGTTTCATGGTCATCAAAGTCACACCAAAAGCAGAGACAAGCAGAATGAAAGAAATATGAGACTGAACCACTCGAAAGATGTTTGGCATCAGGCAAACACATTTCTTATAGAGACCTGGCACAACAACTTGTCAACAGTGAATGAAATTATAAGGGCACTGCAAGAAAAAACCACATTGCTGGTGCAAAATACACACTTATTCTGAATGGTCAGCCAACAATTAAAGCCATCTGGGCTCCATGGGCTTTGGAAGCCAAAGGTGAAAGCCAGAAACCCCAAGGAGGACCCTAAGCTGCTGTAAGAACTCCCTGAGGAAGAGCAATCTCACTCTTCAATTGTAGGATGACACACAAATAAACGAGATCAGCAGTCCCCATAAGAAAGATGAGGACTTTTGATACAGCACAGAAATCTGATTTAATTCTAGAAACAAATCAGGGTGTAGGAACACAACAACAGACAGGACATGAGGGGACATGGACACACACATGGGAAGGAAGCAGTCAATAGTAACAATTACAGATTAGTTTCCACAGTTTTCAGAGTTTTAGCAGAATCCAAATCTTATTGGAATGACTAATAAGGCAGGATTAATCCTCAGGCAGACAGAGCAATAGGCTGCTGGCTTCATGCCACTGAGTGCACCAAAATAAACCTTACAGGTGAAAAAATTTCAATTCTCAATAGAAATTTTGAAGCAGCAGTTAACCCTGCTCCCCAAAACAGACTATTAATGCTTAAAAGTGTGCTAATACGAATGCCATTTCTATTTTATATATATAATTCATATTTGTTTATAGATATAATACAAGTATGTTTTTTCATAATGCGTATTTCAGCACTTTGATAGAGATTATATTTTGCTTTTTACTTTTTAATATGTACAAATAAATTGAAAACATTTTACTTTATATCAGAGGAAAAAAAAGAAATAGGAAATATCTCACCAACCCATTCCATCCTGTAATTACTTATGCATATACCTCTATGACCTCACAGATAACATACTTCAGCAAATGCTAACTGTACTCAGGCCTGCTGCTGATCAAATAAGGATAACAGAAGCACACATTGGCCACAGACACTGAAGTATACAAAGCATTTTATACAACAGTACTGTGGTTGTTTCTGACTCATAAAGCTTCTGTTTATGGCTGATGCTTTCAGCAAAGTAAAAATGGCTTTCCTGCACTGTGATATCCTATGGTCACATTCCCATGCCAAAGGGGCTTGGTAAGATCAGCCAGAGAGAGGAGAAAAATTTGAGGCAACATGTACTTTTTCTGTATTCCTAAATAACACAACTGTGTGTGACAGACAAACTGATGGGACAATTCCTGCTTGGATAAACAAATGCAGAATAAAATGCTGCACAGTTGGTGCTGATTAGAACAACACCCTCCAGTCAGGGTACTCCTGACTCCCCACAGCAGAGTGCTGCTCCACAAAGGAAATGTGCTTTCCCAGTCTTTCCACTTGGTTCCAGGAGAAACACTTCAGATTCCAGAAAAGTGTGACATTTCCCAAGCAATCCATTTGTGGCAGATTGTTTACTGCACATTAGAAAAAGGAATGTGATTATAAAAGGACTTTTAAAAAATGGAAGCCTTCAATTTTTTCAAGCCATTTTTATAAGGAACTGAATTATTACATAAAGGTTCAGGAGGAAATAGAATTTTTTGCAGCAGTGTTCTTAGAAGAGGTGCCAGGAGTAATAACTTCACACAGCTTAAGGGAATTCACAAAAAGCTTGATTCCATGAAATAACAGACATCTCACAAGCATACATGGTGCAGAATGGATAATGATGAAATTGAATGAGACCGAAGTTTTTAAGGAACATTTTTTAGTGGATGATTTACTTTTCTTATTAATAATTAGCTGTTCTACATATTTTGACAAAGTCTTGCATTTCTACTCACCTGATTCATTTTGAATTCCTGTTGTGTTCTGAAAAGATACACACAACAAAGAAACTCCTTTGATTACATGAACCCTAAAAAGAAAAACAGACAATTGTAATACGTACCTATGTACACATTTACATTGAACTGAAAGTACATACAGAGCTGTAGTTTCTCTTCCTAAATTGTCTGTAGAAAAGGAGCATTTTGCTTTAGAAAAATGCTGTCTGAATGATGTTTGTCTGAATGTTTAGAAAAATGTGTCTGAATAATGTCAAGATCATCTAGCATTAATCTCTTTCCCACTTTAAATGATGATGAAAAAGATGTGCTCAGGTACAATTGTTCCATTTGTTGTTTAAAGTAAGTTAGTTTGCTCAAGATTGAGTACTTTTAAGAACTTTAGAAGTCAGAGCTCTTTAGAATTTTGTATCAAAGCATTATAGAAGGACTTACATGGTTTTCAAACTTAAAAAATGCATGTATTGAGGCTCTACTCATCTATATTAGAAACAGGAAAATATTCCTTAAATTGATCTGTATCGAGGTATCTTATTACGCTAATGTATTTTACATTCCTTTTTTATAAAAGCCTGAGATTTCAAAAGGTATCTGACAAAAATTCCAAGTTCAAGTAGGCATCAAATTTGGATAGTCACAACTTGAGGGAAAACTAATCAGACATATCTAAGGGTCGAGATCAACTCACTTCCTTTCTTTGTTAATGTATACAAAACAGCATGTTTGCAAATTAGGCCCAAAACACTTTTAGACCCATTGTCATACAGAATTTTCAATAAATTAACATCCACCCCATTTTTGAAAGTGAACCGGTCCCTCTTCACTTAAAGCACTTTATTCAAGTACTGCTATTTCTTCCATTACTGCTATTACTATAACAATGATCAACTGAATTTTTTTTTACTAAGTACTCTGCATAAGTACTAACATTTAATTTAAAATAAGTTCAAGCAAAATCTACTCTAAATAGATTTCACATAATCCCTCTCATCTTTGCACTAAAAGAATTCTTAATGCTGTGCAAAAGTGACAATACTGCCAAGCAGAAATCTGTAAGAAAAGGAAAAATGTCCTTGGAAATGATATTTCTGTTGTATACACCTGTTCCAGGATTAACCCTTTTGTCCTGGTGTTTCCATAATATGTGAGCATTTAAACACAGAGCTGAAACATCTGTATCTCAGTTCCAGTTTTGCAACTGCTTCTGAGGGATTTAAAGTTTGCCAGCAAAGACCAGCTATGGGATAAGGAGCTCCATCCGAGCAGCTTGTACACATCCAAAGAAAAACATTCCTTTTGGAATGCATTATTTCTAACTTCTAACTGATTTCAGTATTGGAGTCAGCATGAACATCAGGGAAAAACCCAGCAATCTTATTCATTGTTCATTGGGACAAAACCCATGCAACGTCATTTTAAAAATGAAATCATTTCTGTAGCAGGAGAGGTGTCAAGTAATTTCCTGGTATGAAACCAAACTTACTTTTAGTATCAAATGTCTCATTTTTAATATACTGTTAGAATATTTTTATACAATTACTCACAAAGTCAAGGAAAGGCAGAACCTCCTGTGGACACAGTAAACTTGGGGTTTAACTTTTGGTACACAAAGTTCAACAAACTGAAGAAAATATGGAATTAATTCTGCAAGTGCTGCCCAACCATCAGCTCCCAGCAGGACCAATGAGTAGCAACAAGGTGTTTACTCACATCACTGCAAGCAGGAGCAAGCTCTGACTCCATGCACTAATGGATTCCCAGCTACACACAGTCCTGTATGGGATTTCCCAGAAAAGCCCCAAAGAAAACCACACTCCTCTGATGTGTCACCAGGGGATTCTCACCTCTATCAAAGGCACACTGATGACCCCATTAAATCAGTTTTAAAGTTAGTCAACAACTTATTAGTACTTTGAAAAAGTCACTCAGCAGCTCCATCAAATACACATAGCAAGTATTTTCATCCAATCTCTCTTCCAAACTCAACAGCAACATAACCTAATCTATTAAAGACCTGGATATTATTAATAACATTTGCCACAATGAACTTCAACCATTCAGTGACAGCCCTAAGAAAAGAACAATAACAGTTCTATCCCAAAAGTGAAGCACACACACCAGCAACCTGAATTTTCAAAATTAATTCTCAGAAAACATTGCCAAGTCATATTGATTTTAAACTACTCCTTACTATCTCATGAGTACAAAATTACTACACACTTACTCAAGACAATTAAGCATCTGGGAAACCAAGAACAGAATGAAGATCTACTGCATTGTCTTATCTTAGAGTCACAGAAAAAATTATTTTTATTAAAGGCACAGTTTTGGCTAACAAACCTTATTTATTCATATAAGAATATACAAGGCATTTGTATTTAAGGAAACACTGTGGTCTTTAAAACAAAATCCTTAAAGCAAAAAGTATTTTGACGTTATTTCTGAATCTGTGCTTCAGAATTTTAAATAATCCCTTAGAAAACCTATGTTGTTAGGCATAAAGTCTGCAAACAAAAGCAAGTGATTTTATTCAAAACCAGCATTGCAGATTATCCCTTTGCAACTCAAGCAGCCTGAAACAGACTAGTAAGCACTCCTAGGTTTTACTAAGTAGACTATCTTCTGATTTTATACACCATATTTTTAATCTCTGTATGTGGGGTTTTTTTTAAATCCCAGCATCCAAAAGCATTTTGAAAGTGAATGCTGCTTCCAATTCAGAGGAAGAAAAACCCCAGCATGAGAGTATCAATCCTATTTTGGAAGCTGAAAATGGGACATGCATTACGTCATGCTCCAGTAAAAACATGTTCATTAGAGAACCAGGAACAAGTTGAAAATCTCCATGGCCTGTTTTCCTAATGCCCCGGGTTCAGGCTGGGATACTGCACAGCTCCTGGCTTTGTTTTACTTTCTAGCTGCAGCACATGACCATTTTTTAAACATCACGACAGCTACATGTTTTCAATACTGAAATACTCTCACCCACGAATTTTCCATGCATTAGGTGAAATAAAGCTTGCCAATTTAAAAACATAAAAGTTCTCGTTAACTCTAAAGGTTTAAAATATGGATGTGATAGGGAATCCTGTTTCTATGGACAGGCACTTAAATGCAAAGACATTTTTAGTTACTCAAGACTGCCTGAATAAGAGCAGAGAAAAAATGGGCAGACAATGATTTTCCGAACAATAAAATCTATTACCTATTGTCCAGTAAGAAAAAAAACTTTGCTTACTGCCACATAACCAAATAAACTGCTACACCTCAGGAAGGTTTGCTCAGGTAACCAAGATAATAAGCCAAGAAATCACCAACACTACACAAACCCCTAGTTTATTAATTACACAGCAACTAGTCAAGGGAAGTCAACAGAAAAGAACAAGTCTCTAACAAATGCAAATGTGCAGAAATTCCACTCCAATCTTCAGATATGAGTGCACTTTAATTTGACTCACAAATGCAGTAAAACCCAATGAAAATTTTTTCAGGTAAGTACACTGCTGATTTATTACTGTGTGAAAAAGTCAATTTCAGTCATTTCTTTTTACAACACAGAACTCATCCTCCCAGTTTTGACTACAGCATGTTTTATACAGAGGCAGAGAAGAAATATTTTTCAGCTTATTCTCAGTGGAGAAAAAACATATTGGTAAAATAAATTATGTCATTTGAGGGGTTAACTATCAGGATCATACCTGCCCTTTCCATGAGAACAAGTTCAACAGCAAAGACATTACAGTATTTTACACAGGTTTGCCAAGGCAGGAATATATTACTGGTCATCTCTAAACCTCTTTGAATTTCAGTTTATAACACAGAGACACCCAGTAAGCAGCATCTCCCTTTTATACAGTTTATATTACTTGTTTATCCCTAAGGATCAAGGATTTTATGTGTAACAGTGGAATGGAGACATCACTGCACTGCAGGATGGACTTCCAGAGCCATTTCAGTTGTTACAGAAAAAGATTTATTTATATATTTATAAACTTTCTGCTTTACTTCTCTTCCATTCTCAAGCAACTTTTCAATAGTAAAAAATGGATTTGCTATACCAATGCACAAAAGTGCTTGAACATTCTTCCCCAGTAGAGAGCTGTTCTTTGGACTCCCATAAAACAGGCACCAACTCAGCAATCTCCAAATACCATACTTACAGGATAAGTGCCAGGGGCACTTCTAGCAGAGATACGTTATCCAAAGTGATTATCTGCCCTTTAATTAACATAATTAGGGTTTCACTGTTAGTGCCACTATTATGGAGGCACTGCTGTCCCAGCAAATCCTGGGATCCTTGAAAACCAACAGGTACCTCCACATGGCTCTCAGGGCTGTCTCTGCAAGTCCAAAAGTTCTTCTGTTTCTTAATCATCACTCCCTCATCTATCAGTGACACAGATCTTCATCTGAAAAGTGCCAATGCTCTCACTGATTCACCATTATGCTTTCCTGCAGTTGGAAGAGCTGGAAATCTCTACACCAAGGAAAGCAGCCCTGAATTCTTAACATGCCCATCATTTTTACTGAAATGTTGTAAGCGTCAGAAGACAACAAAAACAGAATCATGGAATGGCTTGGGCTTGAAGAGACCTTAAAGCTCATCCAGTCCCACCCCCTGCCATGGACAGGGACATCTTCCACTATCCCAGGTTGCTCCAAGCCCTGTCCAACCCAGCCTTAGACACTTCCACGGATGAGGCACCAAAAGCTTCTCTGGACACCCTGCGCTAGGGCCTCACCAGCCCCATGGGGAACAATTTCTTCCATATAGCTAACCTAAACTTCCCCTCTTTCAGTTTGAAACCATTACTTCTTGTGATCAGTTCCTACAGTTCCTGGTGAGGAACATAATTACATGCCATGCTGCTGTATATCTCCAGTTACCCTCATTTATTTAGCATATTTGAATAAGCTGGAGAAGATTTTGCATCCAAACAGTATGCCCAAAGTCCAGAGCACAGCCTGTGAACAGCAAACTGGGGCAGCAGGAGAAGCACAAGTAGCCCTGCTATTCTCTAGAGCTGTCCACTGCTACTCACTCAAATGTGAAATAAGAATAGTTCTCTTGCCCCTGAATGATCATTTAGCAGGTGCAGCCATACCACCTTCTCTTCCTTCCTCAGCTGAAAACAACTTAAAGTTTTCTTTACTGCTTCAGAACGGAAATTTTGCAGCTTCATATGAATTTGAAACCACTGGAAACTTCACTGTATACTTCAGCTACCTGTCCATGAGATGGTTATCAGCAAAGCTCTGCAGGCTGCTCTAACTTCAAATAAAAAATGCACTTAGGATACATCTCTTGAGCTGTTCTAAACATCTTACACGAATATTTTTCATCTCACCCCAAATATTTTTCCCGCACGGTACCACTGCACAATGAATTATTCTCCGACTTAGAAGAATAATTCACGGATGGCCATCTCCAGTGAGGGAACAAATTCTGGAGTTAATTTCTTCCAGCCCTGCTCACTCAGCTTGGCGGAACGTGACCTACAGGAGCTTTGGGACCTGCGAAGTGCCAGAACTTCTGAAGGCAGTTTAAAAGAGCAGAGTTCTCCCAGCATCGCGCTGGCAGCGGCAGGAGCCAGCCGACACTTCCGAGGCAGCATTTTCAAGATTAAAAAAAAAAAAAATTGAAAAATCCGCGCCAGGGCATGAAGCGTCCTCCTCCAACCGGCCTCCCTCGCATCCTCCATCCTCGCTCCCCCACGTCCCGGCGGGCTCAGGTCGCGCACCTGCCGCCGCTGCCCTCCCGCCCGCGGCCGCCGCCTCCCCGCGCCCGCCGGGGCGGCTCCGCTCCCGCAGCAGCCTCGGGGCTCCCCTGCCTGCGCCGCCGGCCCTGCCCCGCGCCCGCCCGGCCCGGCGGGTCCCGCCGGCCCCGCTCACCCGGGCCCCGCCGCCTCCGCTCGGCCGGGCCCCGCTGGACCGGAGCGGCCTCAGCGCCGGCACCGTCCGGGCGCCATCTTGTCTCCAGCCTCGGAAGTGACGTGCGGGGAGGCCGCGGGCAGGGCCCGAGCGGGACCCCCGGAGCCCCTTCCCGCCCCTCGGCTTCGTCCTCATCGTCATCGTCCTCATCGGCTTCATCCTCATCCTTAACAGTCCCTTCGTGCCCTTCGTCCTCCTCATCCCCCGGAGCCCCTTCCTTAAACAGTCCCTTCCTGCGCTTCATCTTCATCGTCCTCATCGCCTTCATCCTCATCCTCAACAGTCCCTTCCTGCCCCTCGTCTTCATCGTCCTCATCGCCTTCATCCTCATCCTTAATAGTCCCTTCCTGTGCTTCGTCTTCATCGTCCTCATCGTCATCGTCCTCATCCTCAACAGTCCCTTCGTGCCCTTCATCCTCCTCATCCCCAGCAGCCCCTTCCTGCCCCTCGGCTTCATCGTCCTCATCGTCATCGTCCTCATCGGCTTCATCCTCATCCTCAACAGTCCCTTCGTGCCCTTCATCCTCCTCATCCCCAGCAGTGCCTTCCTGCCCCTCATCTTCGTCCTCATCGTCATCGTCCTCATCGGCCTCATCCTCACCCTTAACAGTCCCTTCGTGCCCTTCGTCCTCCTCATCCCCCGGAGCCCCTTCCTGCCCCTCGGCTTCGTCCTCATCGTCATCGTCCTCATCGGCTTTATCCTCGTCCTCAACAGTCCCTTCGTGCCCTTCATCCTCCTCATCCCCAGAGCCCCTTCCTGCCCTCGTCTTCATCGTCCTCATCGCCTTCATCCTCATCCTCAACAGTCCCTTCTTGCGCTTCGTCTTCATCGCCCTCATCAGCTTTATCCTCGTCCTCAACAGTCCCTTCGTGCCCTTCGTCCTCCTCATTCCCAGAGCCCCTTCCTGCCCTTCGTCTTCATCGTCCTCATCGGCTTCATCCTCATCCTTAACAGTCCCTTCCTGCCCTTCATCCCCAGAGCCCCTTCCTGCATTTCATCTTCATCGTCCTCATCGGCTTTATCCTCATCCCCAGCAGCCCCTTCGTGCCCTTCATCTTCATTGTCCTCATCAGCTCTATCTTCATCCCCAGAGCTCCTTCCTGCACGTCGTCTTCGTCTTCATCATCTTCATTGGCTTCATCCTTCCTGTCCCTCGTCTTCATCTTCATCGTCCTCATTGGCTTTATCTTCATCCTCAACAGTCCCTTCCTGCCCTTCATCCCCCTCATACCCAGAGCCCTTTCCTGCGCTTCATCTTCATCATCCTCATCGGCTTTATCCTTATCTCCAGAGCCTCTTCCTGCCCTTCATCTCCTTCTTCCCCCTCAGCTTTGTTGTCCTCATCCCCCTCATCCCCAACAGCCTCTTCCTGCCCTTCATCCCCCTCATCGCACTCATCCCCAACCCCCAAGAGATTCCTTCCTGCCTTTCATCAACTTCATCATCCTCATCCCCCTTGTCGTCTTCATCCCCATCATTGCCCTCATCCCTAATGCCCCCTTCTTGCCCCTCATCATCTTCATCACCCTCACTGCTCTCATCCCCAGCAGCCTCTTCCTGCCCTTCATCACCTTCATCCCCAAGAGCCCCTTTTCCCTTCATCCTCTACATTGCCTTCATGCCCAACATCCACAAGAGCCCCTTCATTACCTTCATTCCATTTGTTCCCTTCATCACCTTCTTGTAACAGAAAAATTTAAAATTTAGAACAAATTACCTACCCAACTAGCTAGAATATGAACCTTTCTGCCTTCAAGATTAAGTATAAGATTTCTCAAAATTATCACAAATAACAGAAATTATAACTTTTCTCCAACTGTATGTAGAAATCATCCTTATTTTCCCCACATTTATACTGAGAATATCTACCATCTGGTGGTGTTCCAGGGGATCTGCACTTTCAATTTACATTTTCAGTTTTCAGAGAAGCCTACAAATCTTTATTTGATTAAAGTTCTGAACATTTAACTGTTTGTGTTCTGAACACATCAATATTTCTGCTGCTGTGCTCTGAACAAGCTTTTCTGGTTACTTGGAGGTGTGTAAGCACACAGGAGAGACAAATACTAGCAAAAACCTTTTTGTAAATCTTGGGCTTCTGGCTGAATATATTCAGGGTGACCGAAAAGGTGACTTGTGGGTTAGAGAGAATTATCTTCTTGTGTGTGAAAATATTAGTGAGCCATGGCAGGAAAAAACATTTCTAGAAAAGATTTTTTAAATCAGAAGTTCTAAAGTAGATACCAGTATGGCCAGTTTTTTTGGTTTTTTTTCTCTTGTTAAATGGGACAAGGTCTCTTTTATCTTAACTTTCTGTGCTCTTCTGGTTTGTCCTTATAAACATAGAAGAAAATGTTCTGCATGTTATGGCTCTGGGAAAGACTGAACTGCTCGGGTAACTGGTTATTAATAGCTCTGAATTTAAGCAATATTACCATATTTTTCTACAAGTTTAGTTTTGGAAAATAGACAATCGACTGAACCGCTCAGATATTTTGGGAAATTCTCAAAATGTCCTGGGGAATGGGACTTTTAAGACTCAAGCATTAAGTATTCCTGCTGCTTTCCCTTCCTGCTCATTTAGGTGCGCCCTTCTAACCTCGAGGTCCTTCACAGCCCTCACTTCTGCTTTCTCCAGCCTGCACCACTAGCAGGTTTTGTTATAAACATCAAATTTTTCAAAGCTTAAAGCAATGTCCAAGCTTTCACACTACTCAAATGTCCCACGGTTTGGTTGTCACTCATCTGTTACATTGTACAAGAGTTCCTCACCTGCTGCCCCACAAGTGCTGCTTTTTCTACAGCTATGGAGGGGTCCCTTTTCAGGACCACTTTATGGAATTGGTCATAGGTCATACCTAGTTAGTCTTACATATTTGGGTTCCATATCCTGCTCCAAAGGGCTTTCCCACAACTCCCATTTGACTAACTTCAGCAAAAGGGTAACCAGGATATCTGATGGGACAGGAGAGGGGTGTTAAGACAGTTTTGTTGATTTATTCTCTCTTAATCACAGGTTGTGATCCCAAGGCTTTTACCCAGTTTCACACAAGAGATAACTCCTGTCCAAAACTGATCATTGCCCTCTCCAGAATGTGACAGCTGCTGAGATCTTCAGTTCAGCAGGTAAATTCTGTAGGACTTGATAGAATGGGTTGTATTGGAATGTAAGGATTATCCAGTTCTACCCTGCTGCCATGGTCAGGGACACCTTCCACTATCTCAAGTTGCTCCAAGCCTGTCCAGCCTGGCCTTGGACACTTCCAGGGATGGGGCAGCTGTACTAAGATGGATTTAGTAGCCATTTCCTGCATACTACTCACACTAACTGGCTAAAATTCATCTGTATAGATTACACCGACAGTGTCACACGGCTAAAGTTCACTAAAATGTAAATTATCAATGACATCGGATAATCTCCATTGCAAACTGGAGCAGATATTTTAGGACTGTCTCTATAAACTGATTTGAAAACTACAGTATTGGGTCCAGAAAATTGATGTCCATGAGTTTCTTAGCTGAATTAATCACTTAAATTTACTTAATATAGAAATATTTATGTTGAGAGAATATGTTGGTGATACTCCATGGAAGGAAGAACATGTAAGAATCATTTTCAGCTCTTGGTTGTACTGCCTACTAGTTGTGTAGTGACAGGCTGGCTCAGAGGATGAAAATAGCACCAGGAAAGGAGAAAGCATCTCATTGCCTGCACTCCTGCTTCTTCCAGCTTCCAGCAGCTGGATCAACCAGAATCACTGAGATGCTGTACAGATGGTGTAAGCAAACCATGAGTAACCAATATGTAGCTTTTGTTTTGTTGGAAGCATTTTAAAAATGAAACCAGGCTCGATGAGTAGGAGGCAATTCATAAGAATCTGAAGCTTTTCTGTTATGAACAAGCTCATCTTTCCTGTTAAAATGCCATCTGTAATTCCCACCACTAGCTGGGGCTCAGGTACAGCTTACTGAGTGTGCAGTTATTGTGCATCTACATCAGCCTGCAGTGAGGAGTCTTTAATTTTAATATTCTGCTCGTGCATTTCTTTACCCATTGGTTTTTGTCAGGTGTATGAAACCTGAAGTAATTCTTGCAGCTCTTGCTCACTTGTCTGCATGAAATGCAAGCATGGTTTACCTTCTCAATAATTCTATTGCTACTTTCCTATCAATCAAACATGCTTATTGTGTTAGTAAGTTCAGTATTGATCATGACAAAATGAACTAGAATTCATCAGGAAAATCATTTTCAAGGAGAAGCTTCATAGTTATGAGTTAAATATTTTTTAACTTCAGCCTTTCCAGGTTTAAATGAACAGGTGACAGGCTTTGCCTCCCTGTGAGAGGTGATTAACAATAATGTATACTTACATGATCTCATTAATATTTTGTCTGTTACAAAGACTCAGATCTTAGTTCCAGGAGTAGTTTCCTCAGGCTAAGTCCAGGTCTGGATCACAGAGGGAACTTTGAATATCAACTTAAATCAATAAATTCTTACACTACTTTATAACAGACAGCCTGTAAAAGTGAGCTGTGCTTTTTATATACAACTTGCCTTAAAGGGCTGGCTTTTAGGTCAAAATCTCTTGTACCACCTATGTGTAAACCTTTGTCTAAGTGGTGAGAAGTGGACTTTTCTCAGTTCTCTTTGTCTAAACAGTTTGTAGGGATCTAGGCAGGAAAACAGCTCTGGGCTGTCCCTTATTTCTCAGCAAACTGCCTCAGTGCCTGATGTACAGGAGAGGACATTCCTTCAAGAAGGAAGCTGGAATGTACTACACTGTGCTCAGTTATTGCTGCTTATCCAACTCCTGTGGGGTTTATTCCTGTGGTGGATAGGAAATGAGGAAGAGCTGACATTCCTATCTCTTTTCCCTTGAGCACACCTGCTGAACCTGTTAATTCCTTCCCTGTTTCCTGCATAGGATGAATCAAATGTCATGAGGCAAAATAACCACAGGACTCAAAGGAATGTGTTATTTGGTTCATAAAGGCAGGAAATGGAGTTGCTTCCCAGCTCAAATGAGACATACAGTACTAATTTCCTAAGACAAACACCAGT